GTTGCTCTCCGCTGGACCCTCTTGAGAAGCTCCACGTCCCTGTTATACTGGGCAGCCCTGAACTGCCCCCAATACTCCAGGTGCGGCCTCACCAGAGCTGAGGAGAGGGGCAGGATCCCCTCCCTTGACCTGCTGGCAACACTCCTCCTGATCAGTTGTATGTATGGAAAATTTGAATAATATGGTCCATATGTATAACTTCAAAGCATCTTATATTGGAAAAGAAACATGTAAAACTCTACAGTATGCTTAGAACCAGCAAAACTTAGCAGGTAAAGGCAGGACACACATCTGTCTACAATAATTTACCAAGGGCTTTCTAATCTGATTAGAAGTGCAATTGAAAGGGGATCACTGCTGTTGCTCATCTGTGTTGGATTTTCTTCTATAAGATTTGTTTCTAGAAATTTCCCTCTTGTGTGTAGCGAGTTCTGTGTTAGGCCACTAACACAGAATGGTGGTGGCTGCAAAGAACAGTGGTGATGAGTATTACCTTGTGTCTTAGACGTGTTTCACATGCCTTAGTGTGATGCTTTCCCAGGTTAAACTATGTTGCTAGCCATGGGCACATTACAGGCACCTGAAACAACTAACTCTCTTAAATATGTCACTAAGGGTTCCAAGTTATCTTCCCTTCTTCCCCCCTTCTCCCATCTCCTCGATGAAGCTCTAGAGTATGTGTATGCAAGAATATGCTGCTTATTTTAAAAGGTAAGTCACTGTTTATATTTATAATGTCTTTGGGATTAAAAAAAGACAGGGGAGAGGGAAAGGGAGGAGCACTGTGATTCTTCACTTAAAAACTAGGTTAGTCAGAGATGGAACAGGGCGATTGGATACTTCAAGTCCAGACATGTGGCCCTGTTGTGCTTGGGTCACAGCTACTAGATTCCGCACACTGTGGTATCAGTAAAATCCTGCAGCTCTGAGAAGCGGCAGAGCCTCTTGGCAGCCTCTCTTGGCCCTTGGATGTTTCCTGCCCCTTCTTCCCAGTAACTGTATTTGTCAGACAGAGTGTCCATGGGAAACTCTGGAGCACTGAGTGGGCTCAGTGTGTTTGCTGTGATCAAACCGGGCTGTGCTAGGGAAGGTGCTAGCTTGCTCTGTGCCCTGACCAGCTGCTTTGCAAATGTGCTCTCCAGCACCATCTCGACTGCCACAGCTGCCTGGGACTTCTGTCATGGGGGAGAAAACTGATGTCCCTTCTCCAAAGACCATTTCTTGCCTCTCTATAGCACCAGTGTCACCAGCAGATCTGACTGTGGTCCCTGCCTGTAGCAGCACCCAGCTCACAGGCACAGCCTGGCCCCAGTGGCCCTGAGTTTCTCCATAGGGGATGGAGAGGGAAATAGGCAGTAGGTCTGACTGCTGGGTGGTGATACACCACCTGGGTGCGAGAGGGAGACCATGCTCCTTATTCTGGGTGCTGATGAGGACCCCAGTATGGGGTGGGCATCTCCAGACCTGTGTTGGGCCCTGCGAAGGCTCCCACCTGAGAATCCAGTACATCTGGGTGGCCTGGCAGGGCCTCTCCAGCTTCTTCAAACAACCGGGGTACCAGGAAACAAAAGACAGATGAAAGATTAAAATGGTCAGAAAGATACTTCATCACGAGGTACCGATTCTAAGAAAGAAAGAATTGTGTCTCAGATTTTTCAGATTTCTCTGTGGAGTGCCTAAGCATCGATGCATATATCGAAGTCATAGAGCTTTACTACAGGCAGGACATTTGGCACCTCTGTGGGATTTCAGCTTGCAAATGTGTTTTTTTCCCAGTGCACCATATTCTTCATTGTTACTCAGTTTCACTCTCAAAACTGCCCAGAGAGTAAAGCAATATTTTCCTGTCTCAGTCTCTGGTGGTTACTCTGGTAAAGGATAAATAATTATTAAAATGTCTTGAAAAAAACCAAGCTAACATAGAGGCATTTTTCCCCTCTCAGATGAAAAGCTGTTAGTACATTCTCCAGAGAACAGAAGATTATTTTGTCTTGGTAATGTACTAAGAGACTTCTTCACTAAATCCTCTCATTTGGTGGAGAAAAATAGAAGAGTTTTCCCAGAATTACAGTGCTTTGACTAGTTAATGACTAAAAGGTAATTTGAACAGAGACATGACAGTGAGTGGCATTATGTTTTTGTACTACGGTATTCCTAAAGTGAGCAGCTGCATTACGAGCATTGCTGTGGATATGAATATTGTCTTTTGGAAGGGTTGGTGCTTCACCTGCAATAAATAAGAGGGATTCTGAAAGATTCAGCATGGTCAACATTAGCAGCAACGAACAGTAGATTAAAGAAATCACAAAAAGACAGTAACATCATATATAACTTGGACTTTCCTTAAGTTTTTATACTATTTTAAAATCATTTCATCGTCATTAATGCTACACATTTATGAAGTATCAAACACAACCACAATGGCAAGAATTTAGGGTTCTAGTTGGTCTCACCTGTAGCCAGTATCCAGAGCAAGTACATTTCTTCAGCAAGTGGGCTTGAAAATTGCACCTCTGGAATTTCAACAAGTCCAGAAAGTGAGTTTCATTACGGCTGATGACCAATGGCAAATGTAATACTTCTAGATGATGGGGATCATAGCAGAAATTTTGCGGTAGACTTGTGTATTATGTGCACACACGTAAACTGTGGTGAAGGCTTAAGAGAACATCACAGCTGAAATCAATGTAGGTTATTCTTTATCAAAATAATTTTAACAAGGCAAGAATGTTCAGTTTGTATTGGAAAGCAGAAAAAAAATGGTCATCACATGGGAAATCTTGAGGCTTTATCCTGTGTGTTCCTTACACTCACTCTGCATGCTTGTTCCTGGGAGCTTGGGAGTAAGTGAAATCTCCACAAAGCTACTGCACAGGTACGGAACTGCAGGAAAGCTGCACGTGATCAAAACCTTTATATTTGGAAACTCACTATATCCTAAAACAAACTCGCACAAGGTTTGCAGTCACCACTTTTTAGCAGTGGAGGTGAGACTGCATTGCATTACATTGTAGGTCCCCAAAAGCACAGAATGGCAAAGATTGAGCATAGACTACAGAGTTTGATGGCACGGACCACACAGTCCTCAAGGCAAGAGGCACTTGCAGTAGTAACAAGAGTAAAAAGCTCAGGGAAGTGTCTGAGGAAGAACTAGACACTCAAAGGCTGGAAAACCTTTACAGGGCCTTGCTCAGTGACTTCCCCAATATTCTTTAATGAGAAACGTAAGCCATCTCACCCCCTGCAGAACGATCCCTCTGATACTCCTGCAGCCCCTTGCTGCACCTCTGCTGTCCTGCTGTGCAGCTGGGTTTTCTGAGGGGAGTTGAAGGCTGCTATTGACCTTCCATGAGGTGCATCCTCAGTGTGGGACCTTCCTGGTTACACCTCCTTTGTGTCTTCCTTGGTATAAACACTTGGCATGCTCTCTTTTAGAACTGCATGGAGTATCTGGGAAAAATGACAGACATACTTCTAATGAAGGTTACAGAAAAAAGGATGTGTCTCAGTACGTGAGATGACTCATAAATTGCATTTTGCATAATAATGATACTAAACTCTCTTAGATATGTGCTTGTATTTCTCACATGCCCAAATACAGCTCTCATTAAATGCAGATACAAGTTTCTACAAGAAACTATCTACGTAAATTTACACCAAAAGATTTCATTTCACAAGGAAGATCGGGTTGATAAACTGCAGGATACATCAGCCCCAGGAGGAGAAGCCACAAGAAAACCATAGGGGCATAATTGGGAACAGGATCTCATGTTGAACATTGCTTATTCGACAAAACTTTTGTTCTTTTCCAGCCTTCCTAAGTCTGTTCTGGATGTAAAGAATGAAGCAGACGTAAGAGACTGCTGAGAAAGATAAACAGCTAAGGAACAGCAGTCCTAAATGTTACTTATTCTGAAAATAGGAAAGACAGTATTTTTGGCCAAAGAAAATAAAATATATCTTAGATAAAAATCAGATGTATTTTCCTATCATTCAAATCAAAGAAATGTAGAAATTAAATGTGGCTTCATACTGAAACCACTGACAGCCTGGACCTAATGAGTTTCACTGGAATCTCATTTTAGTCTCTTATAACTGATAATAACACTTGAAAAAATAATTGTTTTGTTTTAACTAGATTAAATCCAGTTTGGTTTTTATTCAGATAGTAAAATTACTAAGGTTATTTTAATAACCTCAGCAGGCTTCCAGGATGCAAAAATCATGCAATTCACATAGCATTCTCTATTAAAACAATAAGCACCTGATTTGCTTTTAATTATCATCTCAACTTAAAACATTGTGATATGAATAGTTACATACACCCTTCTATGCTTTTTAATGACTGCAGCAATTTCCTGAAGACTACTTCTGTTTTTTTTTAACTAACTGATAATACTGTTTCTAGTTTTACTGCCACAGTGATGCAGTTTGTTTTAAAGGGACTGCATCTGCACGAAAAAAAAAAAGATACTTTGAGGAGAGATGTCTAATTATAATATTTACAATTTATAATAAAGTTCATGTGTGTCCTTACACTGCGCACTGCCTATTATTTCTCAGTTCATTTTTTCAGTAAAACAAAGACTTAAAAATGCTATAATTGGTTGCATGATGCTGACTTGTAAAGCGGGGAGGATGAAGGTTTATGCTGGTGATATCTGCTCTACTGCAGAAACAAGGAGGTGTAAGGCCCATGTGCTCCCACAGTGAGACGTGTCACCACCGGGGAGAGGTGAGCATGATTTCACCTCCAGGTATAACCCAAAAACTGACCGTGTTGCAGTCTGCTTCGAGCCACCTGTCTCAGGAATGGCCTTTGTGTTGGCTTCTCCTTCTGTATTGACCACAATTATCTTGATTCCTGCTGCATGGCCCAGCAGAGAAAGACCTCTGCAGAGCAGGCAGGCAAACAACCCACATCTGTGCAGTTTGCTGCTGGTTTAAGGCTTGCTGGAGGTGAGGGGGAGGCCACTGACCTCTGGAGCATCAGTGGAAACATGAAGGGCATGCGGCAGCAGGACAGTGTGCAGGCACCTGGAAACGGCAGCCAGGGAAAGCGTCGTCTTTGGGAGCAAATGTCCCACAGGTGGTGGGCACTCTTACGTAATTCCGTGAGACCAGAAAGAAAAATCCCTCCTGTTGCTCCACTGACAACGGGGCATGGTGAAGTGAGCTAATCCACCACAGCAACTATGCCAGTGGCCTCATCTATAGGGCAGATTGCAGCATCTCAAAAGGGGATAGATGTAACTGTTTTGGAATAGTTAATGGGGTGGTTTTCATTTTGGGATCTCCTGTGTGAGCCCCTCATATTAAGCTTCATCCTCTTCAGAGGGGAACAACATAAATTTCCCACTGTGACACTTGCCTGAGTTAGTCTGTTTTTGCCTTTGTAACTGATAGAAGTTGCCAGAGTTTATTTGTAACTGCGAAGTGAAGGCATCTGTGGCTTGGCAGCTTTATGCCAAGGCAACCAAGTAAAACAGACCTTCTGTAAAACGTGGGGTCAGAGTTGGCATCTAAGCACAGGAGATCAGGCCGGGGCTGTCCCTGTGACCCACATCTATCTGTGTGTGGTGGCTGGAACTCCCGGCCATGGCTCTGCACTCAGATGTGCTGTCCTGGATGAGCTGCCCGGGCTCATGGAAATGCGAGCGATTCTGTGACTCGGACCCTAAGAAGGGACACCCATATTTATTCCTCTTGCAGCTGACAGAAAGCTCAGAGAAGGGTGTTTTAGCTCTGGTGCCTGTGTTAAGATCTGTGCACTACTCTATTAGGATGTAGGCATGGTGAGCAGCAGTTGTCCACCCTGAGGAGGAGGGTATGAAGAAACAGTCTCCCCGTTAGACACAAGTGACTCCTTGCTCCAGTTATCAATTACTACAGAGGCAAACGCAAACCTGGGACCTCTTAGGTCAGACTGCCTCCTGACCTAAGGGGACAGCAACCAGCCATTTCCAGTGCTGCCTCCAATACCAACTGACCAGAAAAAAATGAGGATTTACTATTTTTGCAAGTGAGCAAAAACATTCCTAAGGTTATGGAGTATAAGCTCCTTCAGGTGAACTTCATGGTGTTGGTAAATTGGATGTGTATCCAAGTCAGACGTGTGGGGAGAAGAAGGAGCCCAGCCTGGGTTTAGGCAGTTTTCACAGCTGTGGTTTCTAATTTGAAAAACTATCCTTAAATGCCATCTAGTGGTAAAAGCTTTTTCGTTTTCCAATTCAACTTTAGAGAGATGGGGTAACACAGCCGATAAGGGACTTTTGTAGTCACTGCTGAGAGTGATTCGTGTTTAAATTGCAAGATGACTTGGTTTAGCAAAGAATGCAGCATAAGCGTCTGTGAAATCACATCCACATAAGCCTTTAACAACTCAGAAGTTCAACAAAGCAATTGCCCCTGTCACAAAAGGCTTAAGGGAGTGCTGTTCTTGAACACAGTGTGCACAGCCCTTTATTGAAGCACACACAAAATTACAAAAAGCCATTTCTTTTCTGGGATTCCCTCATTTTTCCTCATCCCACAGCAGCACAGGGCAGTCAGCTAATTCAATGTTATCCATAAAGTGACAGGCACCGTAGGCAAGCAGGCTGTATCTGTACGAGTGAACAGAGGAACAGAGAGACAGAAATCCGAGAGAAGCCACTGAGCGGTGAGGGAGCTGGAAGGGACATCAGGGAGCCAGTGGCCCATTAGCAGGTTGTACAGGTTGTACAAAACATGCAGCAACAGACAGGGAGAAGAGCGAGACAGGTCCGTTTTTACAACTCAGTGCAGAGCAGCACAGAAAGGTTAAATGATTTGCCGATGCAGGAGCGCGGTGCGAGCAGACCACGGAGAGCACGGTGGCAAAGGCGGCCTCGTGCCCCTCTTTGTTACCTTCAGCACCAGAAGCTGGGGTCGGCAAGGCTCTTGCCTGGCTGAAAGCGCCGGCAGGACGGGAGCTCAGTGCCCTCCCCGGCGCCTGCTCCTGTGGCCGCACGGCGCTGTCTGCTCTCCAGCCGCCTTCGGGCCAGCGAGAGCTGCTTCGGGAGGAACGCAGTCCCGGGCGCCCTCCCTCAGTCGGACACCTGCTCAAGATCCGCGTTGTCCCTGCCTCCCGCAGGCCACCCATCCCGCAGGAGGATGGGGCTGGCCTCTTTTCTGTGGTGCCCAGCAATAGGAATAGAGGAAACGGCCACAGAGTGAAGCATCAAAAGTTCTGTAGGAACTTCGGGAAAAATTTCTTGACAGCAAGGGTGACAGAGCCCTGGAACAGGCTGCCTAGGGAGGTTGTGGAGTCTCCTTCTCTGAAGATCTTCAAAACCCGCTTGGATGCAGCCCTGTGCCATGGGCTCTAGGTGACCGTGTGTGTGCAGGGGGGTTGGACTAGATGATCTCCAAAGGTCCCTTCCAACCTTAAGCGTTCTATGATTCTATTTCCTAGCTATTCCATCTTGGTTAGGATGCAAAGAGCTGCAGACTTGCCTCTAGCCTGCTTGTGTAGGTCACTCTCTGGAGTTTAGCTCCAGAGTTTTGGGACACACCACTACTTAGTGAGCTATGCATGAGTGTATGAACCAGTTGCCTTTGCAACTGCAAAAGCAGTCTTCACGTTAAAACAACACTGCAACACACAGATTTTCCAGCTTGTGGGCTTTGGAGCTTATTATTTATTGAACAGGAGTCATAGAATCATAGAATCATAGAATCATAGAATGCCGAAGGTTGGAAGGGACCTCAGAGGTCATCGAGTCCAACCCCCCTGCTCACGCAGGGTCACCTAGAGCACGTGGCACAGGGCTTCATCCAAGCGGGTTTTAAAGATCTCCAAGGAAGGAGACTCCACAACCTCTCTGGGCAGCCTGTTCCAGTGCTTTGTCACCCTCACAGTGAAGAAATGCTTCCTTAAGTTCCTGTGGAACTTCCGATGCTTCAGTTTGAAGCCATTTCCTCTAGTCCTATCGCTGCCCACCACTGAAAAGAGGCCGCCCCCCTCCTCCTCACTGCCTCCCTTGAGGTATTTATACACGCTGATCAGGTCCCCCCTCAGCCTCCTCTTCTCCAGGCTGAACAGACCCAGCTCTCTCAGCCTTTGTTCATATGGTAGATGTTCCAGGCCCCTGATCATCCTGGTAGCCCTGCGCTGGACTCTCTCCAGCAGCTCCACATCCCTCTTGTACTGGGGAGCCCAGAACTGGACGCAGTACTCCAGATGTGGAGATCTTCACATCTGGAAAAAGATGTGTCATCTTTCAGCAGATGTAGGATGCCAGTTAATAAATAGCACTACACAGCTTCTAACTCATAGGCTAAAAGCATTGTGTTACTGGCCTCCAGAAGAGCTATGCAAGATTTAAGTTTGCTCATATAGCAATGAGGTCTAGCCTTAAACTTCTTGAGTCTTGGTTGCAATCATACTTTCGTATGCAACAGCACGATGCTGAACAAACTAAAAACATTCCAGAAGCGCCTGGATAGTCTGCAGTGGCAAAAATGATCATTGTTCTTAGTGCTAAGAACCAAACTTGAGAAGCTAAGAAGTGCCCTGTACTTTCAAGCAGCTGAAAACCAGGAAACAGAAGCGTGGCTTTGGCTTGGGGGTTGCTCACTGCGCACTGCAAACTCAGGAGCTGACATCCTCTTGGAGCATCTTTCCAGTCTATGAAAAGCAGCCAGTGAGGAAAGGGCAAAATTAACAAAGCTATGTAAATAACTGTGTAACTGGTGTAAAAGCATAAATCAATACAGAGTGAACGAACCTTTCCCCTATAGGCTGACTATGGGAAGTCAGCATGACTAGGGAATTACCAGCCAGCCAGATTTGGTCTCATATTTGCAATAACTTCACTTTTGCCGGTATTATTCCATGTTTTAAAACTCTTGCAAGTGCAAAGGGCAGCCACCAGCATCCAGCACCTGCACCGACAGCAGATGCCACCTACACCCAGTGCTCGGAGCGGCGGCAGAAGCGGGTTACACCTGCTGGTGACACCAGCACCCTCAGAGAGTAACTGCCGCCCTTAGATGGAGCCTCCAAAGCACCTTGGAGGCAAACAGATAAATATTTGGTGGGGCTCACTCCAAAGTTTCTCCCGCCAGCTCGTCCCGCCCCACCCCTCCCAACAACCACTACAAATTCCTGACGTTTCTCCCGCGGGCCCCGCCCCTCCCGCGGGCCCCGCCCCTCCCGCGGGCCCCGCCCCTCCCGCGGGCCCCGCCCCTCCCGCGGGCCCCGCCCCTCCC